TATAAAAAATAAAAAAATTTTATAAGCCCATATTATTCTTTTAAGTATAAATAAAATATCAATCCTAACATGTTAGGTAAAAATATATATGTAAAAACCTACTTTTAACCTCTCATATTGTTAAGTTTGAAGGTTTTAGCCATTCACCTTATATTATAACCTTAGCCTCTCCCCTTATACTATATCACTTTTAATCTTTCACCTATTAAAATTGAAGAAAATAGCCCTCACTTTGTAACATTTTGTTAGTTCTATTAGCTGACTGTTAATTCTATTAACCGACTATTAGTTGATTGTTAACTATTAAAAACCTTATTTCAACTAACAGAACTAACTTTATAATATTTTCTTGATTCTGTTAATTAATTATTAATTGACTATTAGTTGATAAAAATCTACTTTCAACTAACATAATTAACAATCAATATAAAATGAGGGTTATTTTTTTCGATTTTAACAGTTGAGGAGCTAACACGTTCGAACTTGATAAGGTGAGAGGCTAAAAATAAGTTTTTGCCAAATATATACATCAGATGGACAAATGGGAAAAAGGCTAAAATCCTAGTAGGTGGATGGTCACGAGGTTTGACGTAGACTGATAGACACATCGCCAACTACACTATCAATTGTTAGAATAATGGTTCAGTTATGAATGTTAGTCATAGTGACAATATTTTTATAAAGTCATTGACTTTACCAAATGTTCTATCAATTTCAAAACTTAGTTATAATCTTCAATCATGTTGACTGTTGATCATTTTCAAGTAGTCATTTTCTTTCTGTTACTCCTTTTGATCTTGTGCATTCTGACACTTGAGGTCTATTTCTTACGTCTATCATGGGGGTTTTGAGTATTTTATGTTTTTTATTGATGATGATACTTGTTTTACCTAGATATATTTTATGAATAATGGCTCTAATGAAATTGAGCGCAATTTTGCAAAGAAATAGCTCGCTTCCTTCTTGAGAAGGGATGGGAAACATGCTCAATATCATTTGATTGAGTAGTTGACCCAGCTCCTTGTTGTTTGAAGAAACCCTCCATTTACATCGGCAAATCGAAGCTTTCCAAGTCCATGCCCAAGTCTGTATTACTTCTTGGGTTGTAATTGCTATCTTATGAGGTTTCGCTGTTATTGCAGTTCGGAATCCACAAACCATTCCAATTGACAGTCAAAATTTCTTCAAATATGTTCTTGAATTCATTCGAGACATAAACAAAACTCATATTGGAGAAGAATATGGTCCATGCATGAAAATAGATTTTTTTTAGTCTTTTTATCAATTAATCTATTAAGTATGTCTATATATACACATTTTTTGTCCCTAAACTTTTAAATCAAGGGACAAAAGTTGTGAAAAATCTTAAAATTGGGGGACTAAAAATATGTATATATAAATAAATTTAACAAATTAACTGATGAAATGACTAAAAACATACATATTTCATAGTTAAGGAAATAAAAAAATTAAGAAACCAAAATTGTGAAAAATCTTAAAGTTAGGAGACTAAGTTTGCATTTAACCTAACGAAATTGATTTTTCAGTTATGAGACCTTTTTCAGGAGAATGCAAAAGAGTAGTTTGCCGTTTCCTTAGCGCACATGGTTATGTAGAAAATGATTAGGAGTTCTGGTAGTTTTTTCTTTTTTTAATTTAATGATAGATTATATATAAAAGAAGATAGTTTTTTTTTTAAAATTTAAATTATCGTTCACATATTATTTTAAATTACATAAAAAAAATTAAACAAATTATATTTTAAAAAGAAAGGGAGTAACCAAAGAAGTATCTGAACTATCATGAAATTGCATGCTAAAACTTAGGAAAATTTTTTTTTTTATTAGTGGCGGAAAGCCTCACTCACAATTCTTTATTAAAATAGGGTAACATACATTTTTGCTAATAAACAAAATCCACCTGCATCATTCACTAAACACACTTCTGTTTTATTTGAACCATAAGATGTTTATAAGCCAATTTTTATATATTTTAAGGTTAACTCCTTCCATTAATCTTTAAAGCCACTCTATATTAACTTGTTACATTTATGATAATTAATTTTTTTAAATGTTGATCTCAAAATTTAAATTATAAATCTAATTTATAAAATAACAGTTACTTATTATTGAGTTTAAGGGCCTGTTTGGTGTGACTTGTGAGAGCTTTAGCTTTTTGAGTACTGTTATAAGTGATAAGTTTAAATTTTTATTGGAGGAAAAATAGAGTTTTAGTTTTTAAGAAAGTGAAAAAGGGAGTAAAAAGTAAGTAAAAAGGGAGTTTATGAAAAGTTTGGATTTGATACTTTTGAACTTTTACTGTTTAAGAGCTTTTTGAGGTTAAAAAAATATTTAAAAGTGTAAGTTTTTAAGAGAAAAATTTAAATTCATGAGACATAAATAGTATTCAAAAACTGAAGCTCCGAAGAACTGCACCAAACCGGCCCTAACTTGGCTGGATTCCAAACAGATTCTTGTTATTAGTATTTACATGATTGAGCAGTCTTGTTGATTTTCTCCACAACCGCTTCCAGAACCGCACCAGCTGTCGCAAACGGGTCTCCCATAACACGGAATGCATTGGACTCGCCCGCCACAGGAACATGGGCCCCAAGGGCTTCCGCTACACAATTTATAATAACACACAACGCATTCGAATTGCCCGCCACAGGAACATGGGTCCCCTAGCAAAGTTGTCAATCTCGCCGTATCGATTGGTACGGTCAGTACGTATCGGTTTTGATATTTGACCAAAATGGTACAATATTAAATTTTATTTTGGTCAAAATTCGACCGTTCTGGTTAAAATTCAATGTACCGGTCGAAATTTCGTGTACCGACCGGCACACAAAATTCCGGCCAGTACACTTCATGCCCCCCCAAAAAAAAAGAAGGATTTCCTTGCCCAAAACAAAGTCGTTTTGGTCAAGGGCTTTTAATCAAAGTTGTCAATCTCGTACCGTACCGGTCGGTACGGTCGGTACGTATTGGTTTTGACATTTGACCGAAATGGTACAGTATTAAATTTCGTTTCGGTCAAAATTCGACCGTTTCGGTCAAAATCCGGTGTACCGGCCG